GGCCATGTTAATGTAGTGTAAAACCATTCAGGACTATCGGTTGTAGATGGTGGGGTTTTCAGTGACGAAACACGTTGATTGACAGCTTTGTATTGTGTCCAAAGTTGCGTTTCCACATCTGTTAAGGAGATGCGGAAATTTCACTGAATTCTATAAGTGACCCCTTAAAGCACTGAAAATAAATTACAAACTTAAATATAATATCTTGCGATACTTGTTATTTAGTAGGGTTGTCAACAGTAAGCCGGTTAGTCGGTTTTTCGGTCGGAAGGCAGAATAGTTGGATATTTATTTAACCCTTTCGCTAGCCCCATGTTTCCCTGGCGTAGACCTACAAATTTTCTGTAGTTGCGACCAAAATCTGACAATTTGTTATAAAAGCAGTGTTCATGCTGACCTGTTAGTATTGTGTTTGTACTCTATTGTAAAAATTGACAAAGAGAGGCCGCCAACACCATAAACAATCTGAACAGGTTATAAAAGAAAGCCAGAATACAAAAGTGTAAATATCAGAGCTCGCTTTTACATATGAGATGTAAATATAATCTGAAGAGTACACATGTTACGGCACGATTTCTCACCCCGACACGATTTGTCAGCCGGGTGAGAAATCGTGATAAAAATGCTTCGTTCGCAACACGATTTCTCCCCCCGACACGATTTATCTGCACGATTTCCCCCCCGGTCGGGATGAGAAATCGTGCCGCTACAACACAGCTGAATGGGCAAGCATGTATTAGAACGTTTGTCGAACAAATTGGTTCCAAAGAACAGTATAACAGCACATGATTGCGAGTACAGATTAGTGTAATTGAATCCCGTCTTACTGTATTCCGACATTTGTTGTGAAATACATGTACCAGGGTATACCTTCTGAGGATACTTGAATATATTTCCTGCGTTTAGGCTGAAATATGCTTATTAATATATACGTGTATGTATGTGTGTGAATACGTTTTAAATAAAACATTTGTTTAACATATAGTGTAGTGTCGTTGTTTATTGCTTGATGACCAAATTGACGGATTACCCGGTTACTCGTTCGGAAGATTGTTCAAGTAACCGGTTACCAAAACTTGACGGGTTTAACAACGCTTTCATTTAATATTTTAAAACAAGCAATAAGTATTCTATCAGTTATATCGTTATTATTATACATCAAACCGATTTGTGAGTTGCTGACGCCAAATCAGAAACAAGTTCTTAGATATTTTTATGAGCGTTGTATAGAATCCTGATATTAGACAATCCTTTTGAGATGTGAGTATGATCCTGCTTTGATAGACTTCTATTGAATGTCCCATGTTTGTTCGATAGTTTAGTTTGACAGTCTGTTAGATGTGTCTACGATCCTGATATACAGTCATTATAAGTGTCCTACTAGTTATCACCGTTACAGTATAAAACATGTCAATGTTTGTTCGATAGTTTAGTTTGACAGTCTGTTAGATGTGTCTATGATCCTGATATACAGTCATTATAAGTGTCCTACTAGTTATCACCGTTACAGTATAAAACATGTCAATGTTTGTTCGATAGTTTAGTTTGACAGTCTGTTAGATGTGTCTATGATCCTGATATACAGTCATTATACCTGTCCTACTAGTTATCACCGTTACAATATTGTTTAGTACCTTTATCAAAATAGAAGGCCTGCATTTGTTTATATCGGTCTTTGTTTTAAAGTTCAGATATTAGCCTGTATATGTCAGCGAATCATCCTTCGTTGAAAGGTCGATGTTATATGTGTTTAACAGGAAATTATTATAGATCATGATTAATAATTCGAAATAATTACATTAATTGCTAAAATTTACAGAAAATGTAGAGATGGTTTAAAATCAATAAAAATTTCGACAATGTAACGGAGCAAGAAATCGAACTAGGTTATCACGGAATGGAAGGAACAATCAGCGCAGAGGAAACTTAATCTGGAACGAGGTAGAAAAAATGGGAAATAATAGTTTTCTAAGGGAATGAAACAAAGACAATCTTTCAAATGAGTGGAAAGAAAAGCAGAGCGAAAACGCCAAATATATTATATGAAATGCTGACATCCCTGTTCACAGTAATATTTATACAATGTCATGTAGTTTATTACTGTATAGCAGTTATATTTCGCGGGAGCTTTAATTTTGCTATATTCGCGCTTTGACTAATATCCGCGAATTCTAAACACCAGCGAAATTATCGAAAGTGTTAACCACTTGTACGGACCTTATCACAATATGTTGAAAATACTTATAACCCAACCTGTTATGCAGATTAAATGAACTCAAATCAGATTATAAGAACAACACTAACATATAAGTGGCCACAACATATTAATGTGTACACAGTAGGTGATTAATTGATTACAGTCGTACAAAGGTATATCATCAGTTGATTTTCTTTCGCGTAAAGTCACTGACGGATGACGACGCCCTGGATCAGTGTTTTCAAACGGTTTACCTGTATATGGAGGTTTGGCCCTTAAGTGTTGACACTCAAACTACTTTGCGCGACACATGGGATTCGGGTGCAAAGCGAAATTTATTCCCTGCGAATATAAAGCGCTACACAGTATGTAGTGTGAATATAATATAAATGAAAAATTCCTGGGTTTATTTAAGTTGTCCAACTTCGTCCGTCTGGTTATTCATGGGGGGGGGGGGGGGGGGGGGGACTATATATTGTGAATCACTGTAATATAATCTCTCACCTTGTTTTCAATATCAGGCCGTCAACAAACACAACGAACAACACTTCATAAATACATATCTATCATTATATAGATCACAACACGTTACACATTTTCTTACAAGTTCTAAATAAATAATAAATAACATCGTGTAATTTAATACTTCTGTATCTAACACTACAAGTAATATAACGTCCATGTTGGGCTTAGTAAAGTCAGGAGGGCTTACTTTCCACAGTGCATATTTTCCCCTTGTAAGATGTAATGAACACATTTAAAATTAGGAGGGCGTATGTACAAATTTGCTTGTTTTTACCGCAAGTCGGTCCATAATTTGGATTTAGTCTGACCCATTTCATAGATTAAGATATTATATGTTAAAGTCTTAAAACCATATCTAATAAATCATAAGTCTAGATAGAGAATACATATACCATGTAGCTTGCTAGGTAAGACATGGCTAGGTTGTTCAAATAAACTGCTCGATCTGACATGCTTTATAATGTTGTATTGTGTTAAAACCATCGAAAATCTACTACTATAATAGATTACGAGACGCATAGTATTTATATTTCGTACATTGCTTGTCAGGGTAAAAACTGACCACTTAGACAACCCTGTCTCACAATCAAACGAGTTAATTCTGTATGAAGAGACAATCCAAAGAAAACAAGGAAAAAAAAGAAAGAAAACAAAATCAACAGTGTTCTGAGTGAAAAACCCCACAACGGAACTAGATCTAGATTCGAACCATGGACCTCAAATATATATAAAAAGTCATGCAAGTGTTCAAAAACTGCTAAATCAGAAACTGACTCGCAAACCTTTATGAATGATCTGGAAAAGGAAAAGCAGAACAGCCTGTCAAACAGTCAATGGTGAATATAGGACTATAATGATGTGTTACAGACATGTTGGAGTATGTCAGTGCTGCAAAAAAAGTATTGTAAAATATTTTTGAATAAAATGTTTCGACCCGTTTCCAGGTTGTTTGAGCTACCCGTAATGTCCGACTCTTTTCAGGTGTTGCACCTCATATTTCGCCCAACCCCTAGCTTAGTAGGGTTAGGGTTAGGGTTTATTCCAATATATGACTTTGATCCACTTTCAAGTTGTGATAACATGTGTGTAAAATTAGATAAAACAAATCTTATAGTTAAAGTCTTTTGTAGCGAATTATAAAGAATAACTTACCAAGTAATAAAATCTTCCAAAAAGACCCATAATGTTTAAAATAGCCATACTTCAATGATTTCAATACATTTGACCTGTACCCTTTATGAGGTCACAGATACCAAAGGAATAGCAGCAATCGATACAATACTATAAGTCCCTATACGAGTCACCTAGGGCTATTTTCAATACGGAAGTTGAAATCTGATGGCAGATATACACTAAATTTTATATTTTACAGTAAGGTTTATTTCATGATGAAGTTATGTATTAATATAAATATGATTATTTTTTTAAAGTTTGATGACAATTTACTGTGTATATTTGCCATCCCTCAATGTAACTTAAATGATACAGAGTGAAACTGAACTATACTCAAGTAGAGGTGAAATAGGCCAACACACAATTCAGTTTTATCTGTGTAATAAGTAGTACATATAATGTCTGTACTTTATAGTATATATAATCATTAATGTTAATGTAGTCCACAGTAAATCTAAAATTCAAAAGTCCACGGCCATGACAAAGTCCATACTTATTGTAAACATAACATTCACATCCTGTCAGCTGATCATTTCTACAGATCGTCGGCAACGTCGCACAACCAGGAACTATGACATGCACTGTTGTTGCACACTGATCAATGACATCATCAACAATGCACCACACTTATAGATAGCCAGGTAGATAATTACACCCCTAACGTCAGGATGAGGAGAACAATACACATTTCTACTAAACACTCACCTGCTCGCTGGGTAAATACTGTTATGTGATTTTAAGTTTTGACAGTCTACCAAGACATTAACTTATAACAGAGAACTTCTGTTATTATATTGTGACATAACCTTGGTTGATGGACGTGTGTATGAAAGTGTTGTTGTTCGTTGTCTGTGGACGGCCTGACATTGTAAACAAGGTGAGTGATTATACGTGACCACAGGACTTAGTGAAACAAAGAATGAAGTGGAAACTCAGGATTTGAGAATATTTTGGGTTTTATTCCTGATGTAGAGACACACATTTCTTTGTTGTCGTTTTTATCGGTATTAGATACAATGTAAACAGCTATACAACAAACTGCATCACTGTGAGATCAACGTTCTACAGTCAATAATCCTGAACTGCTTTAAGTCTTTTTATCATCATGGCTACATCTCTGTGTAAAGGTCAGATTCCATTCCGTGCCAAAGGTCAGACCACCTGTTTACACCACAAAGAGGGACAACTGGACGTTTACTGTAAAAAGTGTCAAGAACTTGTTTGTATGAAGTGTCTATCAACTGTACACAATGGTCATCCTTTGTGTGGACTTAGTGAAATTGCCTCTGAAAAGAAACGAGACATTCAAAACTTCATTGACAAAACTGAGAAAGCTGATCTGGTTCAAGTTGACAAGTACATCACTGCTACTGATGCACAACTAAAGGACAATTGTAGCAATTTTGAAAAACTTTCTCACCAGTTAAAGACACAAACAAACAAATTAAAAGAAGATTTGGACTTGCTAACAGCTCAGACTCTGTCTCTCTATCAACAAATGGAGGAAGATAACACCAAGCTACTACAAACCTACAAACAGGACCTGGAAATGTACAGTACTCAGCTAAAAAAACAAGTACAAAAATGTAAGATAGCACTTCAACGCTGCTCTGACATCCAAATCTACGACACAGGATGTGAGATTCAATCTTCTACCACTCTCCCTGTAAAACCTACCCTGGGTACTGCTAGTTTCACTCCAAACCTTAATCCTCAGAGTCATCTGGAACAAGCTTTGGGAAGAATTAGCACATCAGGTCATCTTCAGGGTCAAGCTTCACGAGATCATGATCGGTCAATTGGATCATCTGCTGGACAAGGACCATCCCCTACACAACAGTGGTCAGAATAAAAAGGACGGACATCCCCTACACAACAGTGGTCAGAGCCAAAAGGACGGACATCCCCTACACAACAGTGGTCAGAAGGAAAAGGACGGACATCCCCTTCACAACAGTGGTCAAAATCAAAAGGACGGACATCCCCTACACAACAGTGGTCAGAATCAAAAGGAAGGACACCCCCTACACAACAGTGGTCAGAACTAAAAGGAAGGACACCCCCTACACAACAGTGGTCAGAATCAAAAGGAAGGACATCCCCTTCACAACAGTGGTCAGAACTAAAAGGAAGGACACCCTTTATAATTGGCGTACGTCGTTCTCTGCCAATTAGATCATCTGCTGGACAAAGACCATTCACTTCAAAACAGGAGTCAGAAAGAAAAGAAAGGACACCCCCTCCAGACCGCAGAACCTTTAACGTCAGTATTCCAAAAGATATAAAGCATACAAATCAGTAACAATGACAGTTACACCTTAACTCTCCTGGACAGGAAGGGCAAAGTAATACAGGAGGTTGAATGCAATACTAAGATCCCAGACATAAGTCTGTCACCAACAACCAACACCCTGTGGGTCTGTGACAAGGAAAACAATATTCAGTACCAGGGAGACACCAATGTGTGTCTGTATTACAGCAAGTAACCATGTTATTTTTGGGAAGGACAAACAAATCTCAAAATTTACCACAAAAGGTAAACTGTTACTTACTACATCAGTTGGAGGGACTTGATTCGTGTCTACACCACACAGGATCACAGAGTGTCCTGTCACTCACAATGTCGCAAGGGCTGCCTGGTATATTTAACGTGATGGTGAATGAAAACCATGTGTTGTTGTCATGGACACATATTTCAAGGAACTATTTGTATATGATGGTGAAGTCCCACATACGTATCAACCAACATCACAGTCTGGAGGTAAACCATTTGACCCCTGTGGTGCGGTGTATGACACTGTGGGTAACATCGTCATCGGGGACTTTAACAATAAGAGTGTCCTACTCATCAGTGGGCGTGGTGAGTTCCTCAGGATCATACACACAGATGACGACAGTACAGTTGCTGTTGGTGTAGAGAGGGAGGATGTCCTGTGGGCAGTGTTTGGATTTAATGATGTCAAACTACTACAGTACAGCAGTGTGTGACACCTAGACAAACTACAATGTGTATAACTTGAAAACCAGATATAAACTACCGTCCTGAGAAGTGTACCCACACAACAGACAATAAAATATGTAACAATGTGAAAAATTACTATGAAACATCAAAAGAGTGATTTTGGACAATATTGTTGGACTAATTTAGAAAAACAACTCAAACTGAAATATTTGACTTGACATTTCTTTTTCTGAGTAAATATCTTTACTATAAAAGTAAATGCTTTTGACTTGAGGAAATATTCCTATTATAATGTTTGTAGTGTGGACATTTTCTCATTGGCAATATGTTTGAAACCTTTATATTTATATATATCGTGAACATCAAACTAAAAGTTGTTAAAAAATTATACCATCCTTTCATCCCAGTAAGCTTCATATCATTACTCAAAGTAGTACGTTTCCTTGAATATTGTCATTTAACAATTGTAATTTATTTTGTAACCCTAACCCAACCTTTAATGTTAATGTTAATGTTGGTCAAGATATTCGATTTGAAAAAAACATGATCACCAGGTACAAAAGCCAGTTACAGATCAAATATGGACCCTAGATTTCATAGTGTATCGGAAGTTATGTTAAAATTGCATGACGTTTGACCCCTGTGACCCAGAATGTGGGTCAAGGTCGTTCGTGGCACCTTTCTTGATAGGTTACCTACATATGAAGTATCAATATTCATGGCTATGTGGATTTAACAAACCATTTTAGCGTATATGATTCCTGCCGCCTTAAAAAAAAAAAGAAGCTATTTATAGCCCTTTATCTTAGCAAGCTGCGTACTAAATAACATGACCCTGCGTCTTAGGGGTCTAAACAGTGTATGTATCTCTCCTACATATGGACATTTCTTCGGCCGGGGGTTTGGGATACGCCCAAGCCTCAAGCAGGTCCGGGTCTGAGACGATTGTTAAGCCATTTAAAGGGACCTAATTTTCAGATATACTTATGTAATTATAACTATCACGTATGCTATAATAATCACATTCTCATTATCATCATGCATTCTGAAGAATTTCTCCATATTTCAACCTCAGAACACTTCACAATATGCTTTTTGTTACAAATTACTTAGATTTAAAAAATAAAATCATATCAATGACAATAAAATACTTTTCAAAACGCATATTTGCAGATCCTTGTTTTCCTTTATTTTCATGATTAAGAAATGGATTTATTATCTTAAGGATTCCTGTCCCAATGCGATGTGGGTTTTTGTGTATAAGCAGTAACCTCCCCCGAATTTCGTTTTGGATATGAAGTGTCGCACATTTGGCCCAGCACACTTCATTTGACCATCTACCTCTGTTGGGAACAGCGATAGTATCACAGTCTTAAGTGCTTGGTTCGAATCCCGGGGTATCCCCGCTGATTTATTTTATACACAAAACACTATTGTTGATTACGTTCCCTTTATTTCATCTTTATCATATTATCATAAAAGTTGATTACGTTCCTTTTATTTCATCTTTATCATATTGTCATAAAAGTCAAATTGCTAATTTACAGTAGGTGAATTATTGTACACCCCAGGTAGGGAGTAGTCATTTATTGTCTAGGGAGTACTCAGTATTTCATTTTGAGTACTCATTTTGTTATAGGTATTGAAGTTGTTAGATCATAGTGTTGTATATTACTCATTACTCAGAGGGACTTACTGTTATATTGATTAAGCAAGTTACTCTATTTGTATATATTTGCACTGAGTATAGCTCAAATAACATCTACTTGTAGTATAGACAATAGAGATCTCCAGTGGAAGTGAATGATACGAACCCCTGTAAACGTCACATAGAAACTCTTATTGGTTGTGTAAAAAGAACTTTTCATAATCCACACTTACCAACCTGAAGAAAATGTTCAGAAATATACGAACCAGACTATGTTTTATAGTATACCTTTTCAAGGAGGAAGTTGAACAAGGATACCTGATATGGGAACCAATCCCATCGAGCACACCTGTATGGTGTTGCTTATCACGCGCTATCGGTACGAGGTCCAAATAAAGGTGTAACAAATTTACAGGTCAATGTGGTTTATTAAAATGAAATATCGTATATGCATGGATTTCAAATAGAATTCGAAACATTCATTCTGATATCATATAATTTTACATGTAAATGCTATAACTTCCCTTGTGTTGTATACCTTATTATTTGATAATGTTGTTAAATGAAATTTTGATTATTTTAAAAGCTAGACCTTTGCCTAGCTGGATGATACTGGCCATGCTCTGGGTCCTCCTCAGCGCCATAGGGCGCCAACAAAATCTTCTCTGATCTTCAACACCGCCTTATTTAATTATGGCGTCAACAAAACCAATTCTGGTCCCTCCACACCGCAACGTGGCGTTGTTTTAAAATAGTTTATGGGTTTCGCTATCGAACACATTTTTACGAGTGTGCTTCATTTAAAAGTTTTTTTATTTAAGTGGCTAAAATGAAGCATTTAATAACATAGATTAATTATAATCTCAAGGATAATGGGCATTTCTATATAGCTCTTAGTTAGTAGAAACATCCATAAATAACATTGTTCTTTATGATAATTTTTAATAAAAATGGAGTGACCATGTCACAAAGCATATCGGAAACTTACTCTTACAGATACAAATAGGTTATTTAAGCAGAAAATTCAACACTTGTATAAGTACACTAATTAAATTTAACTGTACTACAGTTGTTGTTTTGACAAATACGAATTTTAATTGATTCCAAGTCCCCGAAATGGTACCTATGTTTTATCATTTTTTTATACCAATGTAAAACTACAAAACTATTTTTTTCCTTTTTACATTGTAGAGGGTAGTGGCTCAGACTCAGAGGAGCCTGATACACGGGCACTCGTTTTTATGATCCTCGTTTTATTAGAAAAAATAACCGGATCTGAGCAAGACAATTAAGATATTTGTTATGTTGTTGTTTTATATGTAAACTATTTGTAAATGAATGCGATGTAGCTGTTGGTTTTTATAACTTCGAACAATTGTTTTGATAATTCAAAAAGATAACATTTAAAATGAGGAGATAAACTATTGATGGACAAGAGTTACTGGCCTTTGAAGAGCTCTTTCTTGTTTAAAGGCGGCAAACACAAAACTGACCTCCAGAGTGTAAGCAGGCACAATTCGTTATATTAGAGGTTGACGTTTGGTTGTGGTGACGTACTATCGACTAAACGTAGTTAGTTTACACTATTCATTTGACTAAATGTTCAGAAAACACCTGGACGGGCATCCGTTCGCGAAAGACGAAAATTTGAAAAATGACATATTCAAAAAATGAAATAAATGTCACTTCGTCCCAACAACAAAAAATATTCAGACTGACTCGAGACAGCGATCAGATTACAGGGATTCGTTATAAATGTCTGAAGAACACATATGCTATACTGATATTGGTCAAAGCACACGTGCATATTTATGTGTGCTGTGACCCATACCAGTATAGCATATGAGTATATTAGACATTTGTAACGTTCCCCTGTGATCAGATTTATGTCTTCAGACGTACGAAATTAAAAAACCGAAAAAATGACGTAATAAGTTTTAATCTCAAATAGACGCCAACTGATCTCGGACTTATATCAGATTTAGCAAATATGTCAGGAGCTTATGGAGCAAGCCTTATCAGGCGCCAGCCGGAAAACTGTCATCGAGGCCTTGTCCTAAACCGGTGAGTGGATTTTGACCAAACTTGATCTGGAACATCATTGCCCGATGAGTTATCAATTAACTGATCAGTGGGATCCCATGGGTGTTAAATAAGAGGGGAAAACTTCTTCCGAATAACAATGAGTCCTAGCGTGATGATATTTTGCCTGATTAGATGTTTTTCAAGTTTGTTCCGACGCATGACATTGACACATGTTCAAGGTCACAGAAGTCGATTGTGTTTAACATTTAAAAGTCTTAAACTGGATAACTAAGAAACCAAGGACTAATCAGTTGGCGTAATGGTGTAAAGTGTCATGAAGTGATGGATCTGAATGACCATCGCTGAAGGCCTGATATATAGTTAAAGGTTTTTGTAGAGGAAGTTAAAGTGTAAAGTACCAAGTAATAAAATCTTCAAAAAAAGACCCATAGTGCTTAAAATAACTTGAGCTATTTCAATACTTTGACCTGCACCCTTTATAAGGTCACATATACCAAATTGATAGCAGTCGAGAGATACAATACTATTCGTCTCTATGCGAGTCACCTAGGGCTATTTTTAATACAAAAGTTGTTATCTGATGGTAGATATACTCTTAATTTTTGATTGATTTTAAAAGTTCGATGACAATTAACTTGATTCTGTGTATATTTTTCAACACTCAATGTGACTTAACTGAGTGACACTGAACGATACACAAGTAGAGGTGAAATAGGCCGACACACAAATATAACCATTCATCTAACATACCGTTTAATTAGTAGTACATGTAATGTCTGTATTTTATATATGTAATCATTAATGTTAATGTAGTCCACAATAAATGTGAATTTTAAAGTTCCACGGCCAGGACAAAGTATCGGCTACTATCAAACTTTATGTAAACATAGATTTCACCTGCTGTCAGCTGATCATTTCTGCAGATCGTCGGCAACGTCGCACAAGTAAGAACTATTACATTCACTGTTGCACACTGATCTAGTAAATCCCCCATAATACACCATGCCTATAGATAGCCAGGTAGATAATTACACCATAACGTCAGGATAAGGAGATCAATACACACTCATACCTGCCAACCTTCTGGCCGGGTAAATACGTTAATAACATATTTTAACAGATCTACAAAGACATTAACTAATAACACAGAAATTCTATCGTTATGATGTGACAATCTGCTTTGATGGATGTGTCTATTTAAGTGTTGTTGTTCGTTGTCTGTGGACGGCCTGACATTGTAAACTAGGTGAGTGATCATACGTGACTACAAATGTACTGTGGTTCCTTTACATACATATATATTCTACAAGATAATTACTCCAACGGGTAATAACCACACCGCCAACCACTGGATTTAGTGAAACAAAGAGTATTAGTAGACACTAAGGATTTTGAGAATCCTTTTAATTCCTGATGTAGAGAAAAACTTTTTTAAACAGGTATACAACAAACTGCTTCACTGTGAGATCAACTTTCTAAAGTCAATAATCCTGAACTCTTAAGTTTGTTTTATAAAAATGGCTACATCCCTAAACAAAGGTCAGATTCCTTTCCGTACCAAAGGTCAGACTACCTGTGTACACCACAAAGGGGGACAACTGGACCTTTACTGTAAAAAGTGTCAAGAACTTGCTTGTATCAAATGTCTATCAACTGTACACAATAGTCATCCTTTGTGTGGACTTAGTGAAATTGCCTCTGAAAAGAAACGAGACATTCACAACTTCATTGACAAAACTGAGAAAGTTGACCTGGTAAGAGTTGACAAGTGCATCACTGCTACTGATAAACAACTAAAGGACAATTGTAGCAATTTTGAAAAACTCTCTCACCAGTTAAAGACACAAACAAACAAATTAAAAGAAGATTTGGACCTGCTTACATCTAAGACTCTATCTCTCTATCAACAAAGATAGAGAGGATCACAATGTCGCAAGGGCTGCCTGGTATATTGAACGTGATGGTGAAGGAAAACCATGTGTTGTTGTCATGGACCTTTACATTGTAGAGGGTGGGGGATTAGACTCAGAGGAACATGATTTACAGGCACTCGTTTTATGATCCACATTTTATTAGAAAAAGTAACCGGATATGAGCAAGACAATAAAGATATTTGTTTTTTTTGTTATATTTGTTTCATATGTAAATTATTTGTAAATGAATGCGATGAGTTTTTGTTTTTTTAACTCCAAACAATTGTTTTGATAATTAAAAAAAAATATAAAAAAATGAAGAGATAAACTATTGATGGACAAGAGTTACTGGCCTTTGAAGAGCTCTTTCTTGTTTAATGGCGGCAAACACAAAACTGACCTCCAGAGTTAAAGCAGGCACGATAGGTTATATTAGAGGTTGACGTTTGGATGTGGTGACGTAATATCGACAAAACGTAGTTAGTTTACACTGTTCAGTTGACTAGATGTTCGCGAAGGACGAAATGGACTAATAAAAAAATAAAAAAAACGTCACTTCGTCCCAACAATAAAATATATTCAGACTGACTCGAGACAGCGATCAGATCACAGGGTTTCGTTACAAATTCTCCTGTGTAATTAGTAGTACATGCAATGTCTGTAATTTATATCAAATCTAATCATTAATGTTAATGTAGTCCACAGTAAATCTAAAACTCAAAAGTCTACGGCCATGACAAAGTCCATACTTATTGTAAACTTAACATGCACATGCTGTCAGCTGATCATTTCTGCAGATCGTCGGCAACGTCGCACATTTAGGAACTATTGATCTAGTAAATCCTCCAAAATACACTACCCCTATAGATAGCCAGGTAGATACTTACACCGCTAACGTCAGGATAAGGAGATCAATACACACTCATGCCTGGCTAGATTGTGTTGTCATAGTACTGTCTGGCCGGGTAGATAATAAAACACCAACCTTCTGGCCAGGTAGATCATAAAACACCAACCTTCTGGCCGGGTAAATACTGTTATGTTAATAACAAATTTTAACAGTTCTACCAAGACATTAACTCTATCGTAACAATCTGCTTTAATGGATGTGTATATTAAAGTGTTGTTCGTTGTTTGTGGACGGCCTGACATTGTAAACAAGGTGAGTGATTATACGTGACTACAAATGTACTGTGGTTCCTTTACATACACATATTCTACAACATAATTACCCTAACGGGTAATAACCACACCGCCAACCACTGGATTTAGTGAAACAAAGAGTATTAGTAGACACTAAGGATTTTGAGAATACTTTTTATTCCTGATGTAGAGACAAACTTTTTAAAACAGCTATACAACAAACTGCTTCACTGTGAGATCAACTTTCTAAAGTCAATAATCCTGAACTCTGAATTTTGTTTTATAAAAATGGCTACATCCCTATACAAATTTAAAGGTCAGATTCCTTTCCGTACCAAAGGTCAGACTACCTGTTTACACCACAAAGGGGGACAACTGGACCTTTATTGTAAAAAGTGTCAAGAACTTGCTTGTATAAAATGTCTATCAACTGTACACAATAGTCATCCTTTGTGTGGACTTAGTGAAATTGCCTCTGAAAAGAAACGAGACATTCACAACTTCGTTGACAAAACTGAGAAAGTTGACCTGGTACAAATTGACCAGTACATCACTGCTACTGATAAACAACTAAAGGACAAGTCTAGCAACTTTGAAAAAAATTCACACCAGTTAAAGACACAAACAAACAAATTAAAAGAAGATTTGGACCTGCTAACAGCTCAGACTCTGTCTTTCTATCAGCAAATGGAGGCGGAGAACACCAAGCTACTTGAAACCTACAAACAGGACCTGGAAATGTACAGTACTCAGCTAAAACAACAAGTACAAGAATGTAAGATGGCACTTCAGCGCGGCTCTGACATACAAATCTACGACACAGGATGTGAGATTCAATCTTCATTTACTCTCCCTGTAAAACCTTCCCTGAGTACTGCTAGCTTCACTCCAAACCTTAATCCCCAGAGTCACCTTGACCAAGCTTTTGGAGAAGTCAACACCTCATGTGAAGGTCAGGGTCAAGCTTCACGAGGTCATGATCGGTCAATTGGATCATCTGCTGGACAGGGACAATCCCCTTTCGAACAGTGGTCAGAACCAAAAGGAAGGACACCCTATATAATTGGCGTACGTCGTTCTCTGCCAAGAACATCTGCTGGACCATCACCTTCACAACAGTGGTCAGAAAGAAAAGAAAGGACATCCTCAACACAACAGAGATCAAAAGGGAGAAAGGAAGTGTCCAGTCCAGTATATACCTTGCTGTCTCAGACCAAGGTGTTGGGGGAGTGGGAGTCTCCATGTCTTCTATATTCTGTATGTCCAACCACTAATGGTCAGGTGTGGACCAGTTACCATAACAGTGACACCTTAACTCTGCTGGACAGGAAGTGCAATGTAACACAGGAGGTTAAACACAATAATAGGATCACAGACATAAGTCTGTCACCTACAACCAACACACTGTGGGTCTGTGACGAGAAAAACAAAATCACAGAGCTCGTGTCAGGACGACTAGTTCACAGATTTAGCACCAGGGAGGAACCACGATGTATCTGTATTACAGCTAGTAACCATGTCATAGTGGGGATGATGAACAACATCTCAAAATTTTCAACAAAAGGTAAATCGGTACATAATACATCAGTTGGAGGACCACACAGAATCTCAGAGTGTCCTTTCACTCAAAATGTCGCAGTGGCTGCCTGGTATAGTGAGGGTGATGCTAAAGGGAAACCACATGTTGTTGTCATGGACACAGATTTCAAGGAACTATTTGTATATGATGGTGAAGTCCCACATACATATCAATCAACATCACAGTCAGGATGTGCACCATTTAAGCCCCAGGGTGTGTTGTATGACAGTGTGGGTAACCTAGTCATAGCGGACCGTAACAACAACCGTATCCTACTCATCAGTGGGCGTGGCGAGTTCCTCAGGATCATACACACAGATGACTACTGTACAGAGGCTGTTGGTGTAGACAGGGAGGATGTCCTGTGGGCAGTGTTTGGGGGTTACGTAATCAAACTACTACGGTACAGCAGTGTGTGACACAAACTACAATGTGTATATATAGTAACCATGACAACTAACACTGACAGGATTATGGAAGTTGTCAGGATCACTTAATAAACTTTAACAACAGATATAAACTACGGACCTGGGAAGTGTATCAACACAACAGACAATAAAAACAACATATCATAATGATAAAAAATAACTAAGAAACATCACCATAACCAAAAATAGTTATGTTTGACAATAGTGTTTAATTTATTAGGGAAAAAAACAAATTCAGTCTGAAGTGTTTGACTTCGTATTTTTTCTTTTTCTTGGTCAATATTCTTTACTGTAAAAGCGTATATTTTTGGGGTGCGAAAATGCTCCTGTTATACTGTTTGTCGTGTGATACATTTTGCATTTGCAATATATTTGAAATCTATATATTTTATGTATTTATAATCTTAATAATCTATTCAGTATATATGTATTTTACATGTTGATAGGTAACTTTACTGATCAGCTATTCTGTTTGTTTGGTCTATTTACTCATATAACAGTATAGTAAAGGACCCAGATTGTTATCATTCAATTAACAATAGATTATCGTCTTTGTGAAATAATTATTCTAGTATCCCAATTTACAGCCCATAGTGAAAATTATATTGAAAATCGTTTATGTTCAAAAAGTTCATCCCGGCAACTTTTATATCCTTACTCAAGGTATCAGGTTTCATTAAACATTGTCATTTGACAATTGTAAAATACTTTGTGTGACCTGAAATGTGGATAAAAACAATTGATTAGAATATAGAAGGTACCTTTTCTTCGGCCGGGGCTCTGGGGGACGCCTTAGCCCCAAGTAGTTCCTGGTCTGCGATGGTTGTTAAGCAATTTAAAGGGATCCACAATGTGATTCTCAAATATACTTATAACACAGACGTAATTATAACTAACACTTATGATTTATTTTACACATTATCATTATCATCATTCTTTTACACACATTCTGGCGAATTCAGCATAGTTCAACATAAGACTCACTATATGCCCTTTGTAGCAAATAACTTAAGTTTGAAAAATAATATAATATCAAAGATAATAAAATACTTTTTCAAAAGTCATATTTGTAGATCTTTATTTTCCTCTATTTTTTATGATTAAAAAATAGATTTATTATCTTAAGGATCCCTGCCCCAATGCGCTGTGTTTTCTATAAGCAGTAACTTCCCCTAAACTTCGTTTCGGATATGAAGTAAATTGTCAAAGAATGACTACTTTATATAGACATTCATTGAGAAGAAGTTTCTTACATCATTTTTGTAGTTTCACTCATCTCTCCTTGAGTGGGTACAAATGGTTTCACCGTTAATTCTGAAAAGGATCTGACTTTTGCACAGAGGTAAGGCCGTGTTAATGTAGTGTAAAACCATTCAGGACTATCGGTTTTATATGGTGGGTTCTTCAGTGACGAAACACGCTGATTTACAGCTTTGTATTGTGTCCAAAGCTACAACATTTCGTTTCCACATGTAGTTAGGAGATCCGGAGATTTCACTGAATTCTGTAATTAGTCCCTTAAAGCACTGAAAATGAAATAAAAACAAAAATATAATATCTTGAGATACTTGTTATTTAGAAGGGTTATCAACGGTAAGCCGGTTAGCCGGTTTCTCGGTCGGAAGGCAGAATAGTTGGACATTTATTTAATCCTTTCGTATGCCCCATGTTACCCTGACGTACACCAACAAATTATCTGTAGATGCGACAAAAATCGGACAGTTTTGTTATAAAAGCAGTGTTCATGCTGACCTGTAAGTATTGTTTTTGTACTCTATTGTTAAAATTGGCAAAGAGAGGCCGCTAACACCATAAACAATCTCAATCAAAAGTGTAAATATCAAGTTTCAGAGCTCGTTTTTACATATGAGATGTAAATATAATCTGAAAAGTACACATATTACGGCACGGTTACTCGATCGGAAGATTGTTCAAGTAACCGGTTACCAGCACTTTACGGGACTAACAACGCTTTCATTTAATATTTTAAAATAAGTAATATCTGTTATATCGTCATTATTATATATTAAACTGATTTGTGAGTTACAGAGGCCAAATCAGAAACATGTTTCTTAGATATTGTTATTAGCCGTGTATATAATCCTGATATCAGACAATCCTTTTGAGATGTGTGAGTATAATCCTGATATCAGACAATCCTTTTGAGATGTGTGAGTATAATCCTGCTTTATATGACAGTGCATCTTGCGCAAGAATAGGTCCTCTACACCAGCGTTCCTTGTCCGCGATGCTCTCAGCTTAATTGCTGCCTTCGGCTGTCTTTAGCCGAGGGGACTATTGATTTTATATAATAGCTATATTTTCAATTATAGTATATCAATTCTATCTTCTTGTAATATGATGTATATGTACATGAAACTGTTCTGTTTCACTGTGTCTTGAAAAAGGAGTGGATCGCTCCGAAATTTGACAACCTAACCTTGTCCACACTGTTGGAATTACTTCTTTGCCCCATATAATCCTGCTTATATAGACTACTTTTGATTGTCCTACTTGTTGTCACCGTCACAGTATTGTTTGAAGTACCTTTATAAAAAAAGAAGGCCTGCATTTGCTTATTCTTTGTTTGATAGTTCAGAGAATTGCCTGTACAGGTCAGGTTAACATCTTTGAAAAGTCGATGTTACTTGTTTTTGCCTTAAAATGTAATAAATCATAAATAATAACTCGATACAAATTTAGACATAAATTGCAATATTTGACAATTTATTTAGTGTGTTATAGAAATATAGCATCGTGAATGTACCGACATTTAATAACAGTGAGCACCTCGACAATGCAACGGAGCGAAAATACAACTAGGTTACCACAGAATGGTACAATCAGCATGTGGAGGGAGTTTGATCTGGAACGAGATGGAAGGAATGGGACTCTAATAATTTTCTCAGGAAATGAAACAAAGATAATCTCTTCAATTGACGCCAAACATATTATATGAAATTCTGACATCACTGTTCACAGTAATATTTATATAATGTCATGTAGTTTATTATGTAGTGTGAAAACTAATATAAATGAAAAAAAACTGGGTTTGTTGTAGTAGTTCAACTTCGTCCGTCTGATTAATTATGGGGAACACTCGATATTGTGAAACACTGTAACACAATCACTCATTTTGTTTTCAATATCAGGCTGACCATACACGACTAACAACAACACGTTATATATCTTGAATCTTACATGAGTTTCCATTTCATATGAGATTTATGAAATGAGTCTTAAGTAATTTTAATAATAATAATAATAATATCTTTTATTTTTACAGGGTTACATATTTAGACATAGTTTAGTTTACAATACGGCCCTGTTATGCATATATGTACAGACTTAATAAGACAATTATAATAGTAGAATGATAATAAATACAATCTTAATAAATGATGCATATATAAATTGATAAATATCACATATACCATTGTGTATCACACTTATTACTTACTGTAAAACATTTCTATGTATTTCTTTTTAAAAACATCTACACTGCACGACTGTTTAATAACATCGCTAAGTGCATTCCATAAAACTGAGCAACTGTAGCTAAAAGAGCGTTTAAACATATTTGTTTTTGCTAAAGGGACATACAGTCTGTTTGAATTTAGTGAGCCTCTAAAATGAAAAAATCGTGACGAGTTTCATAAATTTCCTATGAAATGAAAACGAGTGTAAGATATTTTTCTCATATAATCAAGATTTGTGGCTTTACTTGTGTAAAATGACAATTTCCATGCAACCTTGAAATGTTAAAACCGCCATTTTGACTCCAGTACGGAAGTCTGTGACATCATGAACTTATCCTGGGCGTGACGTCACAATTGAAACATTTGAATCTTACAATGAGTCACAGGTTTGATAGGTCATATAACATGGGTTGATACGCAAAAAAAAATATGGCATGGATATATTCACTGGATAACACCGTACATTATGTGATAAATACATGTCCATCAGTATATTGGTCACAACACGCTGCACATTTTCTACAAGTTCTAAATAAATAACAGGTCGATTAACATCTGTTATAAAACTTTATATCACACACTTAGTATTCCCCAGGACTGAAGTGGGTGTATCACAAACTTTCTGGTCAGGCGTTATGTTGTGTAGTTATTTACCTGGACACAAGGTGAGATGGTGTAGTTATTTACCCGGTGACATACAGGAGTGATGTATTGTGTAATTTAATACTTCAGTATCTAACACTGCAAGCTATGGGGCAATATTGCTGCAGACCTTCAGATATATACAGGTAGATTGTAAGTGCACACATCGTATCTAATAAGCATATTTAAAGTCAGGTGGGCTAACTTTACAAAGTGCATATATTGTCAGATGTAATGAACGCATTTAAAATTAGGAGGGCCTATGTACAATTTTGCGTCTTGTGAATCTTTCAATCTGATTTAGGGATTATGTCAAAGTGAAGTTATGCATTAATCGGAAGAGACATTTTTAAAAGTTTTATGTGAATCGACTAAGTGAGATGTGTATATTTGTCAACGCAAAATGTGTCTTCACTGATACAGAGTGAAGCAGAACCATACACCAGTAGTGGTGAAAGAGGCCAGCACCCACATAAAACAATTCAGCATTTATCTTTGTAATAAGTAGAACATGCTATGTTTGTATTTTAGTGTAGACCACAGTAGATCTGAAATTTAAAAGTCCACGACCATGACAAAGTCTCGGCTGCTACCATTCTTTATGTAAACAGATTATTCACATTCTGTCACCTGATCATTTTTGCAGGTCGTCGGCAGCGTCGCACAACAAGGAACTATTACATGCACTGCTGCACACCAATCTATTAAATCACCTATAATACACCACCCCTATAGATAGACAGGTAGATAATTACACCCCTATCGTAAGGCTAGGGAGATGAATACATATCATACTAATTTAACTGCCTTGACTGTATTGTATTAGTACTATTGAACCGGCAAGATCCTTAACATCCACATTCTGCCCGGATAAACACTGTTATGTGATTTACAAATGTCTACCTAGACGTGAACTAATAACAGACAACTTCTATTATATTGTTGAGGCATAGTCTACTTTTATGGGTATGTATGATATTAATGTGTTGTCGTTCGTTGTCTTTGGACGGCATGACCTAGAAAAGAAGGCGAGTGATTATACGTGACTACAAATGTACTGTGGTTTCTATACATACAATATATTCTACAACATAATTACCCCAACGCCATAAAAGTAACAAGACATTCAAAACTACATTGACAAAACTGAGCAAGTTGACCGTGTACAAATACAATACACCACATCAACTGATATATATTTATCTAAAGGACAACGCCAGTAACTTTGAAATGGCATTCAAACCAGTTAGAGATATATAACAAAATTAAAACACACTCTTGATCTGTTGACAGCTGAGACTCTGTCTCAGAACATGATATCAACAATATACTTAAAACCTTTAAACAGGACCTGGAAATGTACAGCACACAGCTTAAACAACAAATACAGGAATGTAAGATAGCACTACAGCGCGGATCTGACATACAAATCTACGAAACCGGATGTGCGATTTATTCTCCTGTCACATTCCCTGTAATACCTTCCCTTGGTCATCAAGCTTCATCCAAACCAAAATTCCCAGGATCATCACGGTCAACCTTTGGGAAATGTTAACACTTTTGTTTAGGTCAAAGGTCGATGTTACTGTGAACTGGTAGAGAAAGTGTTTTAACACTAAAGAAAACATTTTAATCTACTCAGCTCTGCTTAAACCTTTACAGATTTAAATATTCAAAGGCATTCATACTCTCACATTCAAAACAATTAAAGTAGAAGTAATAATTCAACCATTCATTCTTTGTAAATATAAAAAAGTAGATGGACGAAATGGATTTTTATTTCACATAAGATATGTGTAATCAAATACATTACAACTAGAAAATGGTCCAGACCTGATCATAAAGGGGTTTATGATGGGTCCAATATACAATAATAAGTATGATTATAAACAGATTGCTTTCTTTGTATGACATAACAAGTTGTCTTATTCAATAAAATGTAATTTGAGAATAACGAAGAATGCTACATACAAACTTTAACATACAAAAAGTATACATTGCAGTAGGAATGTCATGATTATAAAAACTTAATACATTTATGTTGATGCTAAACATAACTCTTCTGGTTCGTTAAGTTAAACACTATTATCGTTTCTACAAAAACGAAGAATGTTAAATAGAAATTAAATATATGAGGTGAGTACGTGAGATGAGGGTGCGATTGATTACACAAGATGTATAATTGAATTGCTGTTACTAACATTTTAATATGAGTTGTAAATATTATGGTCAACTAAAAATAAGAAAAAACTAACACGGGGTCTGAGCGATCTGACTCGCTGTGAATTGTGATGGGAACAATTTCTCAGCTCATTAAATGCCGTATTTTACTTGGTCTTGAATTACTTGAAGGGTGCCTTAAATTTACTGCAAGTCAAGAAATGTATAGTTTGCAAACTAGTTAGGGTATTTTTTTGTCTAGGAAATAGTCTTTTGTGTTGACAGAAGAGCTCAATGTCGAGTTTATGAAGGAATATTTTCGACACTATATGACACAAATTCCTAATTGGAGCAATCGTTGTCATGGCAATTAGGTATAGACATTGTAGTATGTCTAGATGCTTCTAACTTCTGTACTGTAGGAGTTTGACATTGTTACCCCTAAACACCGCCCACAGGACGTCCTCCCTGTCTACACCAATAGCAAATGTACTGTAGTCACTAGAGTGTATGAGTCTGAGGAACTCACCACTCCCACTGATAAGAAAGACACGGTTGTTTTCATGATCTCCTATGACGAGGTTACCCACACTGTCATACACCACACCATAGAGGTCAAATTGTCGACCTCCTGTCTGTGGCGTGTGTTGATATTTTTGGGGGATTCCACCATCATACATAAATAGTTTCTTAAAATCTGTGTCCATGACAACAACATGCGGTTTTCCTTCACCACCATCACGTTTGATATCCATGTCAGCCACTGCGACATTGTGAGTGACAGGACACTCTGAGATCCTGTGTGGTGTACACACCAATGATTTCCCAGTCCGCGCAGCCAACGTAGTAAGTACCAATGTACCTTTTGATGTAAATTTTGAAATGTGTTTGGTCATCCCCACAATGACATGAGTATCACCTGTGATACAGATACACAGTGGTGTTTTGTGTGTACTGAATCTATTAACTAGTCGCCCTGACACGAGTTCTGTGATGTTGTTTTCCAAGTCACATGCCCAAAGGTTTCTTTTTGTTGGTGAAAGACTTATATCACTGATCCCAGTATTTTGTTTGACCTTCTGTAATACTCTGCCCTTCTTATCCAGGCGAGTTAATGTGCCACTCATAGAGTAACTGGTCCATGCCTGGCCATCAGTCGTGGGACATACAGACATAATGTCACATTGAGACGTCCACTCCTCCAACATATCGGTCTCAGACAACAGGGTGTGTACTGGTCTGGTCACTTCCTTTGTTCCTTTTGTCATTTGCTGTGCAGGGGCTTTTCTTCCTTGTGGCTCTGATATCTGTTGAGTAGAGGGTGTCTTAACCTTTAGGTTTGACTGAGGTTGTGTAGAGAATAATCCTTGTCCAGCAGATGATCCTACTGAACGCTCCTGTTCTTGTAAGGCTTGACCATGACCTTGATCTGAGATGTTAACTTTTCCCAAAGCTTGTTCAAGGTGACCGCGAGGATTTCGGTTCGGACTGAAGCTAGCGGTACCCAGGGTTGGTTTTACAGGGAGTGTGACAGAAGATTGAATTTCAGATCCTGCGTCGTAGATTAGTATGTCAGAGCCACGCTGAAGTACAACCTTACATTCTTTTACTTGTTGTTTTAACTGTCTGTCATATAGTTCTAGGTCCTGTTTGTAGGTTTGCAATAGTTTGATGTTATCCTCCTCCATTTTCTGATAGCGAGACAGAGTCTCAGCTGTAAGTAGGTCAAGGTCGTCTTTAAGTTTGTTTGTTTGCATCGTTAACGTCTGAGAAAGGTCTTCAAAGTGGCTGGCATTGTCCTTTAGGTGTTTATCAGTAGATGCGATATACTTGTCGATTTGTACCAGGTCGAATTTCTCAGATTTGTCTATAAATTTTTGAATCTCTTTTTTCTTTTGGGGAGTAATTTCTTTTAGACTACACAACGAATGCCTCTTGTGAATAGTGGATACACAGTTGATACAAACAGGAACTTCACATTCTTCACAGTAATGGTCTAGTTGTGTCCCTTTGTGGTGTATACAGGTGGTTTGACCCTTGTTCCGAAAAGGAACCTGACCTTTGTACTGGGATGTCGTCATTTTTGTATCCGAAATTGATTAAAACAGTATCTGAGGAAAGTTTGTGTCGGCACCATGGACCATGATAGAAAACCGGTGTTCACATTAATTCAAGTGGCTGGTCCATACTTTCTTGTATATCTGAAATAGAACAAAACTAAATATGGAATGCAAATGAGTAATTTCGAAGTGTTTGGCTTTTTACTGGATGTATTTTACTGTTTGGGAAACAGAAACAAAATTGACCTTTTAGTATCTACACAATGAATTGTATTTTTCGTGATATATAATTATATGTATTCAAACATTCAAACAAAATTGACTTTTTAGTATCTAGACAATGAATTGTATTGTTCGTAATATATAATTATATGTATTCAAACAAAGCGTTATGACTTCATACTCCATTATCAACTTTAGCACTTAGATACAAAATGAGATTATGATAATATCTTAATAAAAAAAATTGTAAATCACAAACATGATCTAGGTAAAGAAGATTTTTTAAAGAGATGGAAGAAACGACCATGATTCGGTTGATTGTATCTGAACCCTTTTGTTTGTTTATGCAAATGACATCACAAGTCCCCTTTGGTCCCCACATTCAAACACTGCCATTCTTGACAACAGTATCTAGATTTGTATCACAGTAGCAACTTCCATGTATGATGATGAATTGTATTGTATTGTTCTAAAACCGCGTGAAACACTGACTCATAACAGTAACCGTAAACTTAATCTTGACACACTGATAAATCGTTCAATTTGTTCTTATTTTGACCGATTTATGAACTTCGTAAATTCTCAATTTTTCTAATTTATATGCAAAATTGATTTTCATAGGAATTGTCTCCCTTTGTATAATTTCAAAACGTTAAAATAGAAAATGTAATTGCCCCTTTTTGCAAGTTATCGATTCATCTCAACCTATTGAAACCAAAGCTATTTATATTGGTCATATATACAGATTTTACAATGTGTTATTATTTACCATCTACATTCATAGCAGGTTTCATCAAAATCGAACGATTTTTAAGCAAGTTATGTTGCTAAAACCTGGGGTAGTCGGATGGACGCTCCCCATACCATAATTTGTCCTATTAAAAATTAAAAAAGGGCAACTTCTCTTTAACCACAGGTCCCAGCATGATGTTTTTTTACCAGCGGTATGCTGAATTAAAGGCCTATAAAGCTGATTCAAATGAATGACTTTGACCCATTTTCAAAACCGTGATCCTAGTAAACAATCTCTCTTTAATAGACAAATGGCCTGGGTTGATGATACTTTGCCTTTAGCTTAATTTAGCCCATTTCATAATTCATCAGGGGATTTAATTTTGAAAATGAATTATGATAGTGTATAGAATAGGTTCCCCCGATGAACCTCTAAAGAGGTGAAACCGCTAGGGAGGTACCAAGAAACTCTTGTCATTTGTTTTCTTTATATTTAGCCATCGCAAGGACTTTGCATGTTTTTTTCTGATTTAATGCATATATATGTACATGAAGTAAGCTTAGTGATACTTTTAATTAGAAAAACATACAAAATTTGCACAAATTTAAATTTATTTACTATTGTCAACTTGCCAATATAAAGTTACAATGGTAGTGTATATAATATATTCTTCCTTAAACCCTACTTTTGATTTGAATCAATCTTCTATTAAAAACATATTAATGGTTTCGTGTAAATATAAAGAACGATTTACATGTTTATTGTTGCGAAACAACTTGGAAACAGCATTATCCCTGGTAAATCAGGTATGTACAAATATGACAAATACATTGGCAGCTCATTCATTTTTACGGGAAATTGACACCATATTGAAGGTATATTTCAAGGACAGCCTATTTTCAACGCTGGCTTACTTTCGAGGTATAATTGAGTACAAGGAATTTCAGATTCATTTTCAAAGTCGTCCTGTTTTTTAAATTCATAATTACTTTTACGGTTACAAGTGTGAGAATGAAACCAGCTAAGTGATTCATGTCCATCGAGCCTCTAGTGTTGACTATAATAGGCCTATGTACGTACAGTTATTTTTAGACACTTATATATACAGCACAGATAACTATCTGACACCTACATATGTACCCCTGTCTCCTCTTAGGATGTTTTAAGTAATTGTTAAAAACTGTCTAGGAATGGTGTCTATATAATAAATACATGTATCTGCTAATGGCCATAGATATCAACTTAAAAATAATAAAACGTTATTCAGAAGTCTATATTTGTGTTGTACAATTTAAAAACCACTTTATGTAGCATTTTACTAGTGAATGTATTATGGTGCATTTTTTTCATGTGATTGAATGTCCTATAACCTGTGTATATTTTTCACCGTCATGGCTGATTTGTTTTCATGATATGTTAAAACACATCCGTCTGCAAACATAAACAGACCCCTTTGATCTACAAACTGATAATCATTTCCACTACCAAGACAGTCGCTTGCATTATTATAGATCAGTGATGTCAATATGATTTCTGTGACTTGCTGATAACTCATAACAAGTGTTTATCCATAATTATTGGGTTGGAGCGCTGAATATTATTAAGGGGTAGGGACATAGGCCAGTTAGGCTACACACATGTGTAATGTACAGGAATAAGGGGTGAGGTCACATGATGGTAAAGCTACACAGGGGTAAGTATAGAGAGAAAAGGGGCAGGGACACATCATGTCAAGGCTACAGGCGGGTAGGGTAGGGGAATAAGGGGCAGGGACACATCATGTCAAGGCTACAGGTGGGTAGGGTAGGGGTATAAGGGTTGGTGACGCATTGATTGTAAGGCAACATAACAGTAAGGTAGAGGAATAAGGAGAAGGGACATATGATGGTACGGATATACAGAGGTAGGTTGATTTAAGAAGGGACTTGTAACTATAAGAGCGAGGAGGGGTAAATGTGCGGAAAGAGGGTAGACAGAGGACACGTGGTGCATTACAAATAGAGCGATAGGACGCATTGCCAGTTTTCTGATAAATGAGGGTTGTATATGATGAGCTGTATAGGAAGTGATTGGAACACATCAAGGGACATAGCTTCATGTATATTTATCAAAATGGGGCGGGCGTAGAGTTGAGGGGGGCACAAGGTGGTGAACCTACATATTAAGAGGACGTGGATAAGGATGGAGGGATGGATTCATAGTGAAACAACAAACGGAAAGGGACTGGATAAGGGGAGCACATGGTAATATTACACTGCAGGTGGAGAGGGCATGGATAACGGAGAGGGGGAGGGGGGTAATATAGTGATACACTGACGAAGAGGGCATGGATGAGAGGTTTGGGGAATATAATGAGACTGCAGACTTAGAGGCTATGGATATGGGGGATTGGGATATAGTGACACTACAGACGGAGTGGCAATGGTTGAGATTTTAGATGAAGTGAACATATTCTTTAGGATATAGTATAATGGGATATTTAGGCTCATCGCACATGAGTTTACAGATAAATAAAAAAAACCCAGATCACACCTAATCCTGTTTTGCATACTATCTAGCCTAATGTACTGCAGATGTAGATTTCGATAGAACTTGGTACACTTCACAGTATCCAAGACAGTTATTAAATAGGCCGGCAGGGAGATGGACTCGATATAGAAGGGGATGAAAATCTGTAACGGACATACAGTCAATCTCTCGAATGGAACCGTAACAAAGGCAACAAAAACATCTAATTTTGTTTACTGAAAACGTTTTCATTCCATATATTTCAAAAATTTAAACAACATATGACAGAAATTATAGAAGTCATATATAGTTACTCACCTTCTATTTAATGCCAAGCCATCCACATACAGAATACAACAGCACCGTATGGCGACCGTAACAGACTGTATTCACAAATTACCTGGCCAGATCTTAGGTGTAAAGGCTGGCCGGGAGTTATGGGCGGTGTATTGAATGTTTTATTTGTTCAATATTGAGAATTTTAAATACCTTCCGCTTCTGCGACGTTGCCGCAGAATTTTAACAAGCTGACAGAATGCACTGCAAGTACATATTCTAATTGACCACATAACGTACTGTGTTATCCACTGAATATACTCATATATTTTGCGCATTAACTCATGTAATATGACCTTTCAGTCCTGTGATTGGTTTGTTTATTTCACTTGTTTCAATTGTGACGTCACAGACTTACGCACTGGAGTCAACATTGCGGCTTTTTACATTTCAAGGTTGCATGCAAATTGTCGTTTTACACGAATAATTGCCACAAATCTTGATTATGTGATAAAAAGGGTTTTACACTCGTTTTCATCTCATATGAAATTCATCAAACTTGTCACGAATTTGTCATTTTAGCTCGCAAAACCTCGCTTAATTGAAAACTTATTAGACTCGTTTCATAAATCTCATGTGAAATGAAAACTCATGTAAGATCCGTTATGGATGTTTCAATAAGCATACAAATGAGAATTTGCTGATATTCTTTGTTCAAATGTTCTCGTAACCTGACGGAGCCCAATGCATGCAGAAATGGGGATCTGCTTTTGTGCCTTCTTCTTGTGGACCCAAAAGTGACCAAAGGTATTACAATCATTGGAACATGTGGGATCTTTTATTTTCTCTCTTCTTCCTAACAACCTGTTCATTTCCTAATGCCTTCCTTGGCAGTACCTCACTTTTGCTTTTGGTGTTGGTGTGATATGAACCTGTTAAGTTAGCGTAGATCAATATATTTTTTTTCATGGTCATATTATCATATTCACCGTCATACAAGTTTTTATTTGTATAGTATCACTTATTTGTTTTTCTGTGAAGATAGTTATTTTGTTTGCATTATTACCCTTTATGTTTCGATTTAAGAATGTTCCTTTTACCTATATTGTAATATATAGACGCATTTTAAAAAAAACCGACAGGTCGATGGTACATAATATCATTCCTATTCTTTGAGTAACAGGACACTCTATAATCCTCTGTGAATATGGTGAATAAACTAAGCGTTCGTAATTCCTCCAGCTGATGGAGTATGAAATAATTAACCTTTTGTATTACATTTTGAAACGTGTTTGTTATGCATACTCTCTATGATTCGGATATACCGTAGTCCTTCATGGTGTTGAATCTGTGCAGCAGTCGTCCTCTGTGATGTTGCTTTCCTCGTCACAGATCCACAGACAGTGTGTTGGTTTTATGTCTATAACCTCGGTATTTTGCTTAATCTCCTGTATTATTTTCCCTTCCTTTCCAGGAGAGTTAAGGTGCTACTGTCAGATTGGCCAGTACAAAAGCATGGTGGAACATACGTAGATAATAAATCATGAAGATTGCAATACCTCCAAACACCTTAGCCTCTGCGAACGAGGTATACAATTGGCTGGACGTTCCTTTCTTCTGCTTGACAACATGTATGTAGAGGATGATCCTTTTCAAGAAGCTGATCCAGCTGACCAATTATGGCCTGTCGCGGTTTGTCCCGGACTTTGAACTGGGATGACACATTTTTAAAACCTGAGGATTTCTGTTTTGGATCAAGGCATATTCCGGGTAGATTTTTCAAGGAGGTTGACAGGAAAATGAATCTCACATCCCGTGTCGTCGATGTGTGTGTCAGTGACCCGCTGAAGTGCTATCTTACAATTTTTTAACTTGATGATATGGATATATGTTTTGCAGTAGTCACATATCGTCATCCTGATTTCGATGTCACCCTATTACAATGAACAGCAACACCCGAGAAAGGTACACACGTCGGAGGAGACCATGTATGTCACAACTTACAGCAAATTTGTTTTCCAGTTCTTGGATGTCCAGGTGGAAGATCTATGTTCTATGTTCTTAAACCTATAAATGACATATCCACCCATCCAGTAGTGTGACGGTACAATAATTGCTGATCATCCCAGCATTACGGTAGGTGCTGTAGCTATCTACCCGACTAAAGACAGAGATGATGTATTGGGCGATTTGGTAATTCAGATTTTAACGCAATAGAAATGTAAATGGTGTATTGGCCGATTTAATCATTTAGAATTTAAGACAGCTAGAAATAGTAATGGTGAATTGGGCAATTTAATCATTCAGAATTTAATACAAGAGAAATGTAAATGTGTATTGGGCAATTGAATATCTCCGAATTTACGACACGTTCCCAGTTTGACCTAGCCGTGGAAATGCAGAAATTATAAACTGACAGAATGAGAATAGGTATGCACTTTCATTGTATGATACTTTCTCAAAAGCTTGCTTTCATTGCTATAGAAATAGCCGGTGAATGTTTTATCTAAGCTGACACGAATTGCGTGTGAACTATACGATGATGCATCATTTGTCGTGATGCCGGCCATTTATAGATTTTTTTCTTTGAAAAGCTTGTTTTATGTTGATAACACATGATGGCTGTATATTTCTCTTTGCAGGTATTGAGGGTTGCATTTGGCTGTCTGTATAGGGTAGGAGTCAACGTAGTTTAAATAGTCAATAAAAACAATCTAGCTTGTAGCTTGCTGATACGAAGTTCTATAATCAAATATGTGACTTGTACTGAATTTCAAGGTTACAGAGCTCGTATTTTCCTAGGGTAAAGGTGTCATCAAGTTTGCAAATGTTTACAACTTTGACCCACTTTCGAGGTCAAAAGGGTCAAAATAATATAAAATCTTCACCCGACACATTTCTAAAGATCCATTATATTACTTGTTTATCGTTTTTAGCTCTTAAGTACCAGTTTGTGTCGATGACACAATAAACACGTCAAACAAACAAGCCCATAGGTCCTAGAATAGTGAGTTTTACTTTGTGGCTTGTCGTGAGGAAAAGTAAAAGTAAATTGTCATGACCAACTCTCATTAGCTAAAATATGATTAAAACTTTAAACGCCATATAAAGATACATAAGATCTAGAGCGATGATTTCTGTCAAGTATCTTGCTTAAAGTCAGGGGTATCAAATTTGTTTAAACATATCTTGACCAACAGTAAAGGTCAAGGCAATCAGATAATGTTGAAATATTCAAACGGGTTATTAAAACCCGTTTGCTTTTGAATCTTAATGTAAAGTTTCTTTCATTAATCAAACAACAACTTACTATTAACGCTATCTTAAAGGCTTATTAAAGCTCACCTGTAGCTTTCTAGGACGACGTGACGTCATGTTTGTTAAAATAAGTAAGCTTAACTTATGTTTAATGTTACATGGGTTTAAATCTCAAATCTAACTAATCATAATGGTTAGCATCATGATATTTGCCATGAAGCTTGCTGGGATTATTGCTTTCTTTTTTAAAACTAATAATAAGAATTTAAAATGTAATAAAACCTTCAAACGACCTATTCAAATGAACCATGAGGTTTGGAATATTGATCTATTGCATGGTGTCTGTTAAAGTTGAAATGCTGTCCATAGTAAACTACCTTCTCCCTCGTTCAACGTCCTACAAGATAGGATATCTGTTAAAATTAATTATAATGTTCCTAAAATTTCGATGTCCCTATAACAACGTTAAAAAGGGCTGGCTTTCCTGTCAAAATGGGTTTATCACTAGTTAAACTTGTTGTAGAGGAAAAAGAAATTAATACAGAAGTGACGACGCCCGGTGACTTTTTAATCCTTTACCCTGCAGGAGCCAGCCCTCAGCTAAAACACCATGGCCTCTTTATATGTGTTATCATAGCAGTAAACATCATGGCCTCTTTATATGTGTTATCATAGCAGAAGACACCATGACCTCTATATATGTGTTATCATAGCAGTAGGCATCATGGCCTCTTTATATGTGTTATCATAGCAGTAGACACCATGGCCTCTTTATATGTGTTATAGCAGTATACACCATGGCCTCTTTATATGTGTTATAGCAGTAGACACCATGGCCTCTATATATATGTTATAGCAGTAGACACCATGGTCTCTTTATATGGGTTATCATAGCAGTAGACACCATGGCCTCTTTATATGTGTTATCCTAGCAGTAGACACCATGGCCTCTTTATTTGTGTTATAGCAGTATACGCCATGGCCTCTTTATATGTGTTATCCTAGCAGTAGACACCATGGCCTCTTTATTTGTGTTATAGCAGTATACGCCATGGCCTCTTTATATGTGTTATCCTAGCAGTAGACACCATGGCCTCTTTATATGTGTTATAGCAGTAGACACTATGGCCTCTTTATATGTGTTATCATAGCAGTAGGCACAATGGCCTCTTTATATGTGTTATCATAGCAGTAGACACCGTGGCCTCTTTATATGTGTTATCATAGCAGTAGACACTATGGCCTCTTTATATGTGTTATCATAGCAGTAGGCACCATGGCCTCTTTATATGTGTTATAGCAGTATACACCATGGCCTCTTTATATGTGTTATCCTAGCAGTAGACACCATGGCCTCTTTATTTGTGTTATAGCAGTATACGCCATGGCCTCTTTATATGTGTTATCCTAGCAGTAGACACCATGGCCTCTTTATTTGTGTTATAGCAGTATACGCCATGGCCTCTTTATATGTGTTATCCTAGCAGTAGACACCATGGCCTCTTTATATGTGTTATATCAGTAGCCACCATGGCCTCTTTATATGTGTTATCATAGCAGTAGGCACAATGGCCTCTTTATATGTGTTATCATAGCAGTAGGCACCATGGCCTCTTTATATGTGTTATAGCGGTAGACTCCATGGCCTCTTTATATGTGTTATCATAGCAGTATACACCATGGCCTCTTTATAGGTGTTATAGCAGTAGACACCATGGCCTCTTTATATCTGTTATCATAGCAGTAGACACCATGGCCTCTTTCTATGTGTTATCATAGCAGTAGACACCATGACCTCTTTATATGTGTTATCATAGCAGTAGACACCATGACCTCTTTATATGTGTTATCATAGCAGTAGACACC